TTTCCTGTTTATAATCCATAATCTGCAAAACTTCAACCCAACTGGAGGCTATACATGCTTTTTCTCGGCTGAAGAGGTAATCATGGTTACACAGCCGTAACGTGGCAGTTCGACTCAGATTAGCAATTTAAGGATCTTTTTTTTTAAAAAAAAAACCTATTTTTTTAAAATTTTAATTATTTTTATGTTGGACCAATTAAAATCAAAAGACGTGGTGGTCGACAAGTCAGAGAAAGATATCAAAAAGCTATAGCTCGTACATTAGCTCTAGCTGAAATTGACAAGTTGGAAATTCAGAAAGAACGGGATCTCGACAGCAGCTCCCAGGAAGAGAAATTGGAAGACGTTCTCGATGCGCTAGAAGAACTTTGCCGGGAAAACTAAAGAAAATAAAAATATTTTAAATTTCTTTTAAATGTTTCGAATTCCTAGTATTTTTGTCAGAGGAAGAAAAAGAGCCGGTAAAAAATATTTAATCAGGAAACAGAGAGCTCAGACGGTAGATAAATTGAAATCCTGTTTAGAAACGTGGTCCGAATTTTCGGAGGTTTTTGAGGCCCTCTTGAACAAAGTGGAAACGGATATCAATCGCGCAAAAGCTATTTTAAAAATTAAAGTCCCTCTTAACGTAACTCCGTTGGAGAGTAAACCTAACGAGAAAACGGACGATAAAATCCTAACAATAACGATTGATAGTGACTCAGAGACCGAAACGATCATATTATACTGATCCAAAAATCGATTGTCCCTTGAATTCCTACTATTCCGTCAATCATCCTTATAAAATTTGTTTAACGTTGTGGTAAATTTTGTAATTCCTCACCATGGATGACGAAACGGTAAGCAAAATCCTGCGATGCATGCGGCCCAAAGTATAGTTAGCACATTGGCTATTCAACAGGCATCCAGTCATATTCCACTGTTCGACGGAAAGAACATCCCAATCAGGGATTTTCTGCAAAATATAGCCGAAGATGTAAAATTATACGATCCGAACCATGACAGAAGAAACTATTCCGACAATAGATATTACGCTGACAGTTATAACCGACGACAATCCCCGGAACAATATCAATATAGGGATAACAGATACCCTAGACCCCAAAACAACGGGTACTATGCGGATGAAAGACGTCGCAGTAACCCTTCTCCACACTCAGAAAACCGAAACTTTAGTCCTGAGATATTAGGAATAATGTGACGAAACGATTCTCCTCGCAGATATGACTCAGTTCCAAACGAGGAAAACAACAAAATGCGCTATCCAGCTGTCCCTAAAAACGAACATTTAAACTCCGAATGTGCTCGGCAGAGGGACGCGCCGTCGAGCCGAAATACAACGGAGCGTCCCACAGCTGTTCGGTTTCTGGAAGATCATTAGTTCATGCGGTTATTAACGATATAGAGGAATCACCTGTGATAAAATTAGACGTTCTCGTTTTAGAGACGGATACGGAAAATTCTTGGTAGATACAGGTGCTGACGTTAATCTAATAAAACTTTCAGCATTAAATGATCACGTGCACATTAAAATCAATAATGCCGCCACTATAACAGGAGTAACTGCGATGCGCGCCTATACACTAGGAACTTGCGAGTTGGGAAAAATGACGCTTTTCCATGTTGTAAAAACGAATTTTCCTATCACTGTAGAAGGCATACTTGGTAGACCATTTCTACGCCAAGAAAAATCAAACGTCTCATTTTATCACAATGCGTTGGTGACAAATTCTAAGCCGATAAGCCCAATACTCTTTATTGACCCAGAATCCGAAGAAAGTCGCAAAGAATTGGCGCCCGAAATAAAGCCAATTCCTCGAATTTTAAGAATAAAGGCCCGAACACGACAACAAGTTTCCATTCCCCTTAAACCCGGTGAACTTAAGGAAGGATACCTACCGCGAATAGAGACTCCAGCAGGGTTGTTTATGGGCGATTCATAAGTAACAAACAGGAATGGTTCCTGCCAAATATACGCCATAAACACGCTAGAAAAAGATATTACCATAGAAATTCCACCACAAGAAATCGAGCCATTCGAAATTGCTATCAACAAAAAAAATTTTGATTCATTAAATTATCCCGATATTCAAGCGCGGATTCGCGAATTAAACGAAAAGATCGACTCTTCGCACATGAACCCAGAAGAACGATCTTACTTAGATAAATGGATCTCGAGCGGATATGACTGTTTTAAATTATCAACCGACAAACTATCCTGTACAAACTTAGTTAAACACCGTATCCCAACGACGGACGAGATACCTGTTAAGGTCAAACAATATCGGCAACCCCCAGAATTGGAGCTACTTGTTGAAGAGCATACCGACAAAATGTACGACGATGACATCCTTCAAGCTTCCATCTCCCCAAGTAATTCGCCAGTAATAATCGTACCCAAAAAGGCCAACTTACAAGGTCGAATTAAATGGCGGATAGTTACTGACTTTAGGGCATTAAATGAGAAGATAGTAGGTGACTCATACCCTCTTCCCGTGATAAATACAATTCTCGAAAGAATTGGCACTGCACAGTACTTTTCAGTGTTAGATTTAGCTTCGGGATTCCACCAAATCGAAACCGATCCAAGGGACAGGCAAAAAACGGCTTTTTCCACAAGGAGAGGTCATCACCGGTACAAACGAATGCCTATGGGCATTAAAAACGCCCCCGCCACATTCCAACGTATGATGGATCAGTTGCTAAATGGCATGCAGTACACCGAACTTTTCGTATACCTAGATGATATAATAATCTTAACCAGAACATTGGAAGAACACGAAAGATTGTTTACTAGGTTGCGAGACGCAAATTTGGTGTTACAACCTGAAAAATGCGAATTCCTGAGAACTGAAGTGACCTACTTAGGGCACATCGTCAGTAAGGATGGAATTCGAACAAATCCAAAAAAGGTAGAGGCTATTCAAAGCTTCCCTACACCAAAAAATGTAAAAACTATCCGCGAATTTCTTGCAATCGCTGGATACTATCGCCGATTTATTGAAAACTTTGCAAGCATTGCAAAACCCCTTTTCGACCTAGTTAAAAAAAACGCAGCGTTTAAATGGGGTCCTGAGGAAGAAGCCAGTTACCAAAATTTAAAGGAAAAATTATGTAGCGACCCGATTCTACAGTATCCAGATTTTGAGAAACCCTTCCGATTAACTACCGATGCCTCGGAATTCGCCATGGGGGCAGTTTTGACGCAAAACGTAAATGGTATCGACTTGCCAGTCTCGTATTACTCGAAAACCTTTAACGAAAACGAATGTAAATACCCTCAGACAGGAAGGGAATGCCTTACCGTTATGTATGCGTTAGAAAATTACAGACCCTATCTATACGGAAAAAAATGTATCCTATCCTGCGATCACGAACCTATAAAATGGATAGATGCAACTAAAACCCCTGTAGGTAGACTATCAAAATGGTTACTACAATTACAGGAATACGATTACGAGTTTGAGTGCAAGCCCGGAAAATTAAACGGTTGGCTACCGGCACTTTCTGAAAACCCTATTAGACAAGATAGTGAAGATAGAGACTCGGTCTCTAGCAACGCGGAATCGGATCTAACAGAAAATGAATCATTGACAACCCCTTTTCAAAAATCGTTAAAAGCCTTACCAACTCATATTCGTTCGTTAGGAATAAAAATCCTTCCTTTAACTCCTCGTCCTCGTGCTGCTAAAGAAGCAGCTAAGGAAGGAATAAGACAGTCGTTGACATCAAGAAGAGAGCGATTGCACTCAGCCCAAAATCCCCTCAGAAACCCAAAAGAACCACAAACAAAGAAAACCATAGGTTCCAAGAAAACCCCCACAACCGAAACTAATCCTACCCCTTCTACTTCAAAACCCCAGCGTATTTCGACGCAAAGACAATCTACTCTGCCTACATCAAAGGTCAAATCGCAATTCCCACCTGTGAGAATGCAGGCTACTATTCAAGGTTGCAACACACTTACTAGTAAACTTCGAGGTCGAAAAAGTCTTATGGCAGAAGTGTTAGAATCGCACCAAGAAGAGAACCCCGATACCCCTAACGAAACAGATTCCGAATTCTCTAGTGAAGAAGATCCGGAATCTGTCGACAAAGGTAGTCTTAAATCAACTAGTGATGAAGAATCAGACATCCCAGTTCAAAGACAAAGATTTAGTTGCTTCCCTAGTTTAAATTTACCCTCACAAATTAAAACAAAAGGAAGTCCCGTAAAAACGGATCAAAACCTTATCGAAAAAGCGACCGCGACCCAATCCGAAGCCGAAACCGACCCGCCCGACATTCCGCTAGAATCAGATGAGGTTCTTGTATATGCCAGCCCACCCGCAGATAATAGCGAAGATGAAGAAGGTGATGGTTACCCTTCAAAAACTCTTGACCCAACGCTCGTTAGTGATATTCAAAAATCATTAAATCAGTTTGACGAACTTATGGGAACACCAACACATAGATCTTGGTATTGGGACCCAGGTTATTTAGACTTAGACAACCAAAGAGAACCAATAGAACAAACTTCACCCCTTAGTAAAGAACAAATGGACCTACATCCAGTTCAGTTAGCTCAAGGCATCGATGAAACCATTGATCGGATTGTACAAGAATTAGGTGACATTAGAAACCGAATAGCTCAATCTGACGATGAAAACAACGACAATAGTCCAGGCCGGCGAGAGACTAACAAAGGTGGAAAATTATCACCGAATCCCAATGCCTCACCAATAACTTCTTTACAAAAAAAAGGGGTGACGGCAGTCACACCCTTTTTAAATTACAAACCATCTGCTCGATGAACTCCTTATCCTAAGACCCAACAACTACCCATAATAGACGAAGAATCTGAATCAAGAAACGTGACTAAAGGTTCTGCCCACTCTACGAACAGAGGAACATCTCGACGCTTGATGCCATCTGAGACAGCCCCTTTAGAATCCGCACCATACGTTTTTCCCTCTGCAGATACACCAAAATTGTCCGGAGACCCGCATTTGCACATTAGAATGCCTTATGTTCCTTTTCAAGAAACAATAGCGGATGACTCTTCTCGTCTCGTTACTAGGCACGAAACGTTAATCCATTGTCCCGAACCAATTACCCATAGTGAGGATAACATGGTCCATTTTATTTCAAGCGATTGTGAAGCGGTAACGCCCGTAACTAGACTTCTGTTGAGCGTAGGCCGAATCGACTTAAAGGAATTAGATGACACAAAACCTAAAAAGGGTCAAGTACTCGTAACTCCTAGAAAAAGAACAAAAACGTACACAATTGTTCTGAATAATAGACATTCTGACCGGGTAACAGAAAAAGATATTGAAAGTGGATTAATAAATGTAAAGACAGTACTAAAACGTGATCATATAGAATCTTTTCGAATTTCTCGTTATGGAAATTTCAGTATCGAACCATCGCGTAACACTTTATCGGATCTGTTAGTAAAAATTTTTCAAGGCAGCAACATAAAAATTTCATTTTGTTTCGGTAAGTTAATTACTCCGCCGGAAGATCTAAGAGAACGAATTATTAGAGAATGTCATTGTAGTACCACTGCCGGTCATAAAGGCCTAACTAGAACATACAGACGGATTAAAAGCCGATTTTATTGGCCCAATTTACGAAGAGATATCACAGAATTCATTCGACGATGTCCTGAATGCGCTGAACAAAAACTTACCCGAATAAAAACTAGAGAGCCGATGATACTTACCGATACACCATTAGAAGTGTTTGACAAGGTTTCCCTCGACACTGTTGGAGTTTTACCCACTACCCCGAACGGTAACAGACATATCCTAACGATACAAGATCACCTGAGCAAATATTGCCTAGCAGTAGCCATACCAGATAGTAGCGCAAACACTATAGCTCATGCACTTGCGACGAATCTTTTCGCAGTATATGGAGCCCCAAAATGTATCTTAACTGATCGCGGAAAAGCCATTGTTAGTACACGGGGAAAAGAGAAACGTTGGGTTAATGCCGTTTTCCGATTGGTTCAACGTCAGTGGGCCCTGTCACGATTTCGGCATTGATTCAACAGACTTTTACTGTTGAACCTACTGTCCATCTATTGTTACAAGTAAGTTGATCCAACAGACACTGCCTACAGCGCTCCTTGCCGTTGAACCAATCGGAAAACGGTATTAATCCAACGTTTTTCTTTTTCCCGTGTAGAGTTTTGCGAAAGCTATCAAAAATCTTTAACATAGAACAGGTCACAACATCAGGCTATAGACCTCAGACAATCGGGGCCTTAGAAAGGAGCCACATCGTTCTTGTAGAATATATTCGTATTTATGCTAATAAATTTGACGATTGGGATCGACTACTCCCATTTGCTTCCTTCTCTTATAATACATCCGTGCACCAATCTACTAACTTTACGCCTTACGAGTTGGTTTTCGGTAGATTAGTCAGGACTCCATCTTCCTTCTCAGATGAAAAAAAATTGAAGACCTATGGTTCGTACTTGCGCGAATTAATCACAAATCTATACGAAATTCGGAAACTTGCTCCTAAACCTCTAATATATTTAAAATATTCAATAATCATGTTTCTGTGAGTGATTGATTGTCAAAAAATGGTATTTTTTCAGTTTTTTGGGTTCCAAAGCTTGCCATTTTTTTATTTTTTGATTTTTTTTAATATCTCGAGGTTTAGGACCTGTATTAGGTCTTAAACTTTAAAATCACGTTTGATTTTTTTATTTTAGATGATTCTGCGATGAGCTACAGTGGTTACCGTAAAGGGCTTTGATTTTGACCAGTGTACATAGCGACCTCTGTAGAAGGAGCATAATAATATTTTTTAAGATCGCAATTTTTTTTTAAATAGTTCTTGACGTATATAGTAACATGTAAAAACTTTTGATCAATTATATTTTAAAACTTATGAGTACACGATCTTTTAAAAACCTTCTATTTTAGGGCAAAAAAATTTAGGAAACCCCTTAACAAGTTAAAATATTTTCAGGTTAACCATAATGAGAATTACGTTATGGGTAGTCTTGGCGACTACCTTATTCTTCCGCATGTTCCAACAACCGAGTGCGAAATATTTGGACACAAATTTCAACAAGACGATGGGCATCTACTATGAAATGATCGAACCCTTACAATATATAACAGGCACTTGGAGAGCAATAGTATTTCTCGACGTTTATAAATCTCAGGTGTTCCTCTCGGCCAGTATGAAGAAATTAATCGCTGCGAGAATTAGCTGTAACCATAGAAGACCTTAAGAAAAATACAGAATCTCATAATACTAATAGTTTCCCATACACTCTAAAAAGGCGAAAGCGAGCAGTACCTTGGTTTGGTTTTGTTGGGAAGATTGGAGGTTCAGCCTTTGGAGTTCTGAATTATGACGATGGAGAGAGATATGACGAAGCAATACGCGAATTAAAATTAGACCAACAAAATATTTCAAGATTAATAAGCGAACAGGCGCATCGTTGCATCGTCAAGGGACGACGATACAAAAAAAGGGGTGATTTGTTACGCTCAGATTTAATCCAAATTATATGCTATGATTTAAAAAAAAAATAAATAAATAAAAAAAAAACTATATTTAGCTTAAATTATATTCTTCTAAATTGTTCTACTATATTCATATTATTTACTAAATTGTAAATGAGAATTGCTGAGCAAACTAAAATCAGGAAATTAAACTAGAAAACAAATTTATTTAACAAAAAAATTTATTATATTATTTCTGCTTGAGGCTACTATCAGTGAGTTTGTGCATTCGCTGCACAGTGGGAAAAAAATGACCCTCTGTGAACAAAAATCTACCGACAACACAAATCTTAACCGATTTTAATATTTATTTTTTCTAAATACTCGGAGACGTTTTTCCTGTAACGCACAACTGCGATAAATTTGATTTATTTCAAACTAACCTTAAAAATGATACCTATATATGAAATTACGTTATTAGGATGGTTTAAAAAATGGAAAAATGATTAATTTTGATACAGCAGAGAGTATTGTGAACCCTTTTTGATCACTGAATGCGAATTTGACATTAAAATTGCAAAATTTTAAAATTCAAAATGGCGGGTGCAATATGGCAGGCAATGTTTTATAAAAGTCACCAAATTCACTCGAAAGTTGTTATTCAGGGGTTTTTAAGGTCGCTGGTTACGAATCTGAAGTCAAATTTCAAAAATTCAAAATGGCGGATCCAATATGGCGGATAAGAAAATCAAAAACTAATTGGATTTGCTTGAAAGTTGTTACACGGGGGTTTTTTGGGTCGCTGATTACGAATCCGATGTCACATTTCCAAAATTCAAAATGGTGGATCCAATATGGCGACCAAAAAAAATTTGAAATTCACTAGATTTGCTTAAAACTTGTTACTCGGAGGTTTTCGGGGTCGCTGATGACGAATCTGATGTTAAATTGTCAAAATTCAAAATAGCGGATATAAAATAAAAAATAGGAAAAGAACTAAGCGCAATTGCGCCTACATCTAGGGTTTCGTGGCGCTTTAAATTTTAATTAAAAAAAAATAATAAATAAATAATAAAATTTATTTTATAAATTTACCTAAAACATTAGGTAAAATGTCCATTCGATAATGTCCACTATTAAGACATGTCAACTCTTGGACATGTCAACTATAGGGACATATCAACTACTGGGACATGTCAACTATAGGGACATGTCAACTATATGGACATGTCAACTATTGGGACATGTCAATTACTGAGACAGGTCAACTACTGGGACATGTCAATTGTAGGGGCATGTTAACTAATGGGACATGTAATGTCCATTCGGGAAAATGTCCATTCAGTAAATGGAGATTTGGGATCTGTGGGGCCCCAAAATTTGAATTTGGGAGCTATGGTGCCCCAAATTTTGAATTTTGTCAACTATAGAGACATGTCAACTATAGGGACATGTCAACTACTGGGACATGTCAACTATAGGGACATGTCAACTATATGGACATGTCAACTATTGGGACATGTCAATTACTGAGACAGGTCAACTACTGGGACATGTCAATTGTAGGGGCATGTTAACTAATGGGACATGTAATGTCCATTCATGTAATGTCCATTCAGTAAATGGAGATTTGGGATCTGTGGGGCCCCAAAATTTGAATTTGGGATCTGTGGTGCCCCAAAATTCGAATTTGGGATCTATGGTGCCCCAAAAGTGTAATTTGGGATCTGTGGGGCCCCAAAATTTTAATTTGCGATCTGTGCCCTAAAATTTTATTTTGGGAGCTGTGGTGCCCCAAAATATACTACAGACAGACGAACGCCAAAGTGAAACTATAAGGCTTTCGGCCATGGGCCACGAAACCCTAAAAATTAATAACTTTTTAAAAATTTGATCGCCATATTGGATCCGCCATTTTGAATTTTTGAAATTTGACTTCAGATTCGTAATCAGCGACCCTAAAAACCTCCAAGTAACAACTTTCATGCAAATTCAATGAGTTTTTAATTTTTTAATCCGCCATATTGGATCAGCAATTTTGAATTTTTGAAATCAGACTTCAGATTCGTAACCAGCGACCTTAAAAACCCCTGAATAACAACTTTCGAGTGAATTTGGTGACTTTTATAAAACTCTCTGCTATATCAAAATTAATCATTTTTTTATTTTTTAAACCATCCTAATAACGTAATTTTATATATAGGTATCATTTTTAAGGTTAGTTTGAAATAAATCAAATTTATCGCAGTTGTGCGTTACAGGAAAAACCTCTCCGAGTATTTAAAAAAAAAAAATATTAAAATCGGTTATGATTTGTGTTGTCGGTAGATTTTTGTCCACAGAGGGTCATTTTTTTCCCACTGTGCGCTGGCTCGATACCGAAAGTGATCAAATTACTAATCGCGTACCTCGGTCATAATTTTATCACCTACAGAAGGATAAAAATTTCAATAAAATTGAAAAGTCATAAGAAATTAAAAAAAACAGATGCTTCAAATAAAAATAACAATACTATTGATTAATTATCGATCAAGTTTAATGTTAAATTATAAATTGGAAAAGATAATAAAAATAGATATATATATTTTTATATAATATATAATATATATTATATGTATACGGCACGCCTTTCTAGTTTAGTCTGTAACTTCGAAAATATTTCTCGAATCTTAATAAAAAATTTTTTCACAGCAGACAAATATATATATATATATTTATCCAGACACTTTATCAGGGACTCATATATAACATTTATAAATATAAATCAATTTGTCTTATGCATTTTTAAAAAATTTATAATTTGAAGGAGTACATAGCTACCTCCACGAAGAAGCAAAAATAATAGAGATGAACGAAAATAATTAGGCATAACCTCTCAATTCGGTCTATCCGCCAAAACGTATTCGGCATAAGTTTTACATACTTATTATTAGTTATTTTCAATAATTTCTTTTACTGGGTCCTTAACCTAAGAAGCGGTAATTACGAATTTTCTTATACACGGAAAGAAAAAGTTCAGGAAAAAGTCCTAAAATACTTTTTCTTAACTCTGGATGTCGCGACCATTTCAGTATATTTGGAAATTTGTCTGTTTAAATAAGTTATAAAATATTTTGGACATAGTATAAAGTATTTCATCTTTTTCTGTTGAAGTGAACATTAATAACACAGGCCTGCAAAATTCGACTTTTTTTTTTATTTTTGATATTGAAGTCGTTTCCTATGTAATTTTGTGCGCTGAACACGATCCCGTGTCCCAAAATGACCTAGCACGTCAGGATTTTGAGAAAAGTGGGGGTAAAGAGCCCAAAAACCGTGTTTTTGGGTGTTTTCAAGAATTTTTTTCTCCTTAACCTGACGTGCTAGAAACTTCTACTAGGTCTTAAATTAAAGCTTAAAGTGTGCACTTTAAGACCCATATGCGCAAGTAGAAGTTTCTAGCACGTCAGGTTAAGGAGAAAAAAATTCTTGAAAACACCCAAAAACACGGTTTTTGGGCTCTTTACCCCCACTTTTCTCAAAATTCTGACGTGCTGGGCCATTTTGGGACACGGGATCGTGTTCAGCGCACAAAA